CAGGAAGCGGGCCCTCACTGGACACCAAATTTGCCGGGGCCTTGATCTTGTGCCCCCGGCTTCCATGACTGTGAAAAACAAACTCAACTTGTAACTGTTGTTTACGAGCCACCTAGTCTATGGGATTCTGTTTCAGCAGGCCGAATGGATGAAGACAAAACTTGAAGATCACATTCATCAATATTGGAAACTTCTGGACAAATGTCAAGGATTCTCAATTATCTTTCTAGAGTATTTAGCTCGAAGTTTCTTAGAGACCCAGAAGAATATTCTAACAGGCGCTTCCAGGTTCTTTGATCAGAGCGGCGTAAAGTTTGGTTTAAAAAAAAACAACAAACTTTTACGATCCTACTTTACTATTAAACTTCATTCTAAGTCAGCCAAATTTGGGCTGAAACTTTGGTCAGAGTGGAAGGCCTAGAGCAATGTTTCTCAATACTGCATCAGTCACAGGGGTGCTTTAAAATGATCTGTTTTAGCTTTTCAGGTCCTCATGTAACCCCTGACCAAATATTTCCAAAGGCTGAGTGTTCTACCTTATGTGACAGTCCATGGCATATTCAAAATGATTATTAGAAAGTTCTCTAAGCTGAAATAAACTTCATCTCCCTATTCTCTTGCTTTTTATGGTTTCACAGAATAAGTAGTCATTTGTACGCATGATAATACTTAGAATATTTAAAGCCAGTTAAAGCAGATTCTCCTGGGGATTATGTACTTGAATAAACTTGTAAGGTAAAACTTCTTATAATCAAATTTACTGTTGAAAATCTCTTAAGTTGCTTACAAAGTAAAATCCTAATAAAGCCGATTTTACCTCCAGGATTGGAATAGATTGTTCCTTGGGCTGGGCTGCAGATGCAGGGGCTGGCTGGCAGTACAGCCACATTGTAGGAAAAATTCTTACCTTTATTCAATTGGAATGAATGCATATTGTTGAAATTATCCATGTGATGCAACATTATGAAAAATGTCCTTAGTGTTTTCCATTAAAACAAAACACTTACTGTGTACCTTCGACATGCCAGGCATTGTGCCAGTGGGGACACTTGTCATTCATTCCCCGATAAATATGGAAGAGCAGACACTTTATTAGCTGAATGGGGAAGTCACTTCCTGAGACAAAACTGACATTTGAAGAGAAGATTGAGGAGAAAAAAGTTTGGTAACATGAAAGCAGTATACTTCAGAAAAAAGAAATCTGATAGTGTTGCAAACAATTCTGCTGCTATATCTTGAAAAACAGGTTCAGGAAGGGTCACCTTCCAGCCCTCTAATAGTAACTATTTGACTCATCATTGAAGGAACACTGGTTTGCAGCAAATTCCCAAGTACTTTTAGGATTAATTTACAAGAAACTCTAAATAATACCATGTATTTAGCAAAACAAAAAATACTTTCACTAGGAAAAATTGAAGATATCTTCATGGGGGCTCCTCAATGAATCCTTTTAAGATAAGTACTTCTAAGGAAAGAAGTCATTCTAGAAACGGAAACTAGACTTATCTTGTTTTATAAGCTGTCCTAAATTAACAGCAACAACAAAAAGCCCCAGCAGCAATCATAGCAGGATCTTCCTGAGAGGGACCAATGGCGGACAGTTACAGCAAAGATTCACAAGTCCCTCTGCCACCTGCTGAACTTGGTTAAAACAAAGATCAAAGGCAACCTTGATGAGGAAGTAAATTCATTAATGTCCAATGTTTGATAGATATTAAAGGAAATAGAAAAAGGCATTCCCATCTTCCTTAAGCTCCAGTCTGGGAAGGGAGGGTTTATGGTAGCTGGTGTGTGCTTGAGCCATGGGTTTTAAAAATTATTTTAAATTAATTTTTATTGGAGTATAGTTGATTTACAATGTTGTGTTAGTTTCTGCTTTACAGCAAAGTAAATCAGTTACACTCATATATACATCCATTCTTTTTTAGATTCTTTTCCCATATAGGTCATTACAGAGTACTGAATAGAGTTCCCTGTGCTATACAGTAGGTTCTTATTAGTTATCTATTTTATATATAGTAGTGTGTATATGTCAATCCCAATCTCCCAATTTATCCCCCTCCTTTCCCCTTTGGTAACCATGTTTGTTTCCTACATCTCTGACTCTATTTCTGTTTTGTAAATAAGTTCATTTGTACCCCTCTTTTTAGATTCCACATACAAGGGATATCATATATTTGTCTTTCTCTGTCTGACTTACTTCACTCAGTACGACAATCTCTAGGTCCATCTATGTTGCTGCAAGTGGCACTATTTCATTCTTTTTTATGGCTGAGTAATATTCCATTGTATATATGTACCACATCTTTAACCATTCCTCTGTTGATGGACATTTTGGTTGCCTCCATGTCCTGGCTATTGTAAATAGTGCTGCAATGAACATTGGGGTGCGTGTATCTTTTCAAATTACACTTTTCTCCAGATATACACCCAGGAGTGGGATTGCTGGGTCATATGGTAATTCTATTTTTACTTTTTTAAGGAACCTCCATACTGTTCTCCATAGTGGCTGCACCAATTTACCTTCCCACCAACAGTGTAAGAGGGCTCCCTTTGCTCCACACCCTCTCCAGCATGTACTTGTTTGTAGATTTTTTGATGATGGCCATTCTTCCTGGTGTGAGGTGATATCTCATTGTAGTTTTGATTTGCATTTCTCTAATAATTCGTGATGTTGAGCATCTTTTCATATGCTTTTTGGCCAACTATATGTCTTCTTTGGAGAAATGTCTATTTAGATCTTCCACCTATTTTTTGATTTTTTTTTTTTTTTTGATATTGAGCTCTATGAGTTGTTTGCATGTTTTGGAGATTAATCCCTTGTCGGTCCTTTCATTTGAATTTTTTTTTTTAAGGTAGTGGTAGAGGTACTACCCTCTCCCCAAGCTGATTCCTCCACTACTGGTGCCCAGCTGCAGCACCTTTGCCAAAATTTGGCAATTCAAAGTGCAGAAAAGATAATGTTGTGGAAAAGCATCAAGTCTTGAGATCTTACTGCCATTGACTTTGTGACCCTGAACAGCATCAACCTTCATTCCCTTATCTGTAAATTAAGGATATATGGCCAGTGATTTAAGGGATAGAAAAAGGATCAAATAGATGCAAACTTCAAAAAGCATTGTGTGAAATGTAAAACCCCAGACAGGTAAAAATATAAAGAACTATAGCGATTTAGACAATTCAGAGGAAAAATCTAGTGTGAACGTTTTATTTTGACAAAACAAACTTTACAAATTTTACATTCTAAACTCCCAAAGTTTCACTTATTTGAAAAGTAAGAGACAAGGCATCCTGGACTCCAAGATTTCAGGCATGAATAGACTAGTGCCATATTTTCAAGTTTTATAAGCTAGCTGTACTTTATACACCATAAAAGTGAAGAGAGCTGTGACAAATTCACTAGTGTCCAGTGCACCTGTAAGAAACACACCGACACACCTGGAATTTCTAACCACAGTTTCACATCAACGACCTCTGAGTAACTGACGTGCATATTTCCATTAATGGTAGGCACAACTCCACAAACATCAAATTACACAAATCACTTGCTTTTTATAATCTCAATTTGGAAATTGAAAAAATAAGAGGAACAGAGTTAAGCAGCTGAAAATGCTGCACTTACTGCACACAAGTACATCATGACAAGGAATGCTTAAAGTTCCCCCAGGAATGATTTTTGAAATTTTAAAGTATATTTTATCTGAAAAGTTGAATTCTTTAATGTGAAAAGCAAGTTAAGTATTGACTCAATCCCTAAAGATCTAGCAAGTTACAGATTCTGTGCAATTAGGCACTAACATACACATTTGAGAGATTAACACTGCTCAGTGGAACCTGGAGGTGGTTCCGCAGTGTTTTTATGGTTCACTTTGGCTTCACACGTCCTTGAAACCTTAGACTCAGTGAGAAGTTACAACTTATCCCACACTAGATACAGGCAATGTGGTTATGATCTGGAACAAATGACTGCTTTTCACCTTCAAGGAACCTAATTTTGATTTATACAAAATTAGATTTTCACCCACATGTATGGATAAAAGTGCTTCTCAAATGTACATATCCCACTTCCATAATCCTAAAACAAAAGTAAAGGCACACAAATGGACAATGGTTTATATATTTTATGTGAATGTTTTTCGTTAGTCTTTATACAAAATCAATTGCTGTCTAGAGAGGTGTGACCAACTTGTTACAAATTTCTACAACTTTGGAAATTAAAGATCTAAGAACTCTCTAAACACTGCAGTTCTGTGCAATTCATGTATTGGTTCATTCACTCTGAAATCTGTTAACTCTGTCATCACTATAGGCTGCAATACTTATATTGTAGCAACTATGAGACCAAAAAGACCAAGGGAGAAGGACGTTTTGGAATTAGTCTCCCACAAGTCGTTTTGAATCTTGTTACAAGTGAATGTAATATGCCTGTGAGCTAAATTGAACAATAATTATAAAGACATTCACCCTAACATATTTGAACGAAATATAATTAAGAACCACAGTTAAACGAGTCTTTAATTTTAATGACCGATATTTTTTCACTTATATGTGAAGGGATTCAATAACCAGCAGCATTTAAATATAGAAATAGTCCCATCTATTTTCTTTTCCCTTTTATAAAGTGCTATTTTTAACTGGGTAGATTTACTAGCCAGCTTTCCAATAACTTCACTCCATGTCTCTAATAGATTCAAGGAAACACTGGAAAACTGCAAAGATTGAGTATTTTAAACATTTGCAAAACATTGCTACAAAGTATTGAGACTATGAATGTATTTCATTAGTAAAATAAAAAGTGTACCTTGGGCTTCCCTGGTGGCGCAGTGGTTGAGAGTCCGCCTGCCGATGCAGGGGACACGGGTTCGTGCCTCAGTCCGGGAAGATCCCACATGCAGCGGAGCGGCTGGGCCCGTGAGCCATGGCCGCTGAGCCTGCGCGTCCGGAGGCTGTGCTCCGCAACGGGAGAGGCCACAACAGTGAGAGGCCCGCGTTCCGCAAAAAAAAAAAAAAAAGTGTACCTTATGTGAGAATATTAAGTTGATTTAATAATTACTTCACAGAAGCATCAGTTCATTAACATTTATGTCAATTTTTGTTAATAATCTAAACCAGAAACAGTTTCTGTAGGCAATTCAACTCTAAGCACTGTCAAATAGGGTCATGCCAAGTAGAACCAACGGTTAAATTACCCCCAGAATAAAAACTCAGACAAATTCAGACTTTTGGAAAAGCAAAACAAGTTAGTAAGAATCAGAACCAGAGGTAACATTTACTTAAAAGTACCATAGGTTGCTAAAAAGTGTTTTCTTTAAATAAAAATTTATGTAGTTATTAATAATGTACCTTAATACTAAGTGCAGTGGTATTAGAGATAATTAAGAGGAAACCACACAACAGATTAACTCAAAAGTGAATGTTGCCTATTTCTTTAGTTCAGTGACCAAAGCTGAAATTGCTTTTGAAAAGAGGTGAACACTACTTACAAGTAGGGTACCAAGAGATTTCCAATTGTATTCACATTATTCTCTAATTAGTATTGTGCATTTCAACTCTGACCTGGCCTTCAGTAGCATCTTAAAATCAAATGCAATTAGTAAAAACACAGGGTAATATGTCGGTTTGTTCACACTTACAAACACTACCAGCTTCATTACAATTTGCACTTCCTGTTGCTCTTGGAAGAGTCGCCACTATTAAAAACAGATACGAATGTGCAATGCTCCTTACTCTGCATGGTAGCCGGCAATGTTTCAATCAAAGGGACCCTCAGTCATCAGCTCTGCACCTGATTTTGATACACTTTCAGTCCTTAGAAACAGGGACTCCAGCGCAGAAGGGTGGCAGGGGGAAAAGAGGCCTAGGTCAAGGTTTGAGGAATCGCTTGGAAATCCACTGCAGCCATACTGCTAAGGAGAATTCCTCCCCATCCTTTCCAACCCCCCGAAGTAAGAATGCAGCATTTAGCTTAAGTCTTTTCTGGTCTCACTTCCTTGTCTACACCTAGTACCCTATTCCTAAGACGACAAACAAGTCTTAGAACGTTCTAAAAGAAATCATTTTTACCCGAATACATTGGACTTGGGTCTCAGTTTGAATGAGGATGAGTGGCCTTTAAAAGGCCGGTCCTCCTCTTCGTCCTCCCCCTCCTCCAGGGGCTGCTCCGGGTCTCTGAAGGAGGGTGTGGTGTGGATGATCTGGGTTCGGAAGCGGATTTTGTTGAGTCTGGGTTTCATCCGCCCACTAGAGCTGCCCGAGGCTTTGCGACCCGGCTCCTTCGCTTTGCCCGCAGCCAATCCCTCGGCCAGGTGATGGTGATGGTGGTGGTGGTCCCCGCCGTCCTCCAGAGCGTGCGAGAGCCTGCCGGAGATGAGGGTCGAGGGCAGCACCCTCGAGAGCCTCCAGCGCCCTCCCCCGCTGCCCGCCGTGCTCTCGGCTTCGTCCTCGTCCAGGGCGCCCACCAGGGTCCGGATCTCCTCGGCGGTGCTCGGGCTCAGGTACTGCGAAGGCTTTTTGCCGCTGTAGTCGCGCACGTCCACGTCCGCGTCGTAGGCCCCGACCAGCAGCTTCACCACCTCCACGTGCCCGTGCATGGCCGCCAGGTGCAGTGCGGTGTAGCCGCCGCTTGTGCGCGCGTTGATGTTCACCGGCAGCCGGTGCTGGCCCGCGAAGCGCACCAGCAGGGCCAGCAGCTCCTGCCGGCCGTGCTTGGCCGCCCAGTGCAGGCAGGTGAAGCCGGTGATGAAGTCGCGCTTGGCCAGCAGGCCGGGCTCGCAGGCCAGCAGCCCCTCTAGGCTGTCCCAGCGGCCGTCGGCGGCCGACAGCATCCACGCGTGCTCCAGCGGGTCCAGCGTCAGCGCGCCCGCGCCCTCCTCCTCTGCCGCCGCGCCGTCCGCGCCCCCGGGGCCGCGCCGCAGCTGCGGGGAGCTGCCCGCCGCCTCCCGGGGCGCGGGGCGGCCGGGCCGCGGCGCATCGCCAGGCACCTCGGGCCGCGCGCCCTCTTCCGCGGGGCCGCCGCGGGGCCGCCTCCCCGGGGGCGCGCTCGGGGCTTCGTCCGCGGGGTCGGAGGGGTCGGCGGGGTCTGCCGCCGAGTGCCCCGGCTCCCTGAGGCGGCCGCTGGCGCGCTGCTCGGGCGTCCCGCCCAGGGCGCCGCCGACGGGCTGCTCCAGCTCGGCCTGGTCCCGGGCCCCGCACTCCACTGGACCCTCCATCCGTGGCCGCGCACCTGGCCGGCTCCGCACCGACGCGGCTGGCCCCTCCTCAGGCTCCTCGGGCGCCGCAGCGGCCTGACTAGCCGCCACCGCCCCCCGGCCGCGCCCGCGGACACGCCCCCGCCGGACGGACACGCCCACTTCCGGCCTTCGCACTGGCCGCCTTACAGCTCCCGCGGGCCCCGCTCCTGTCCGCCCCGCCCCCTTTCAGTCCCCGCGCAGGCCGCAATCAGTGCTCTCCCCGGAGAACACGCCCTGGCTCCACCCACTTCCGGCCCGTGAGCGGTCCGCAATGGCCGCTCCTGCCAGGGGACACGCCCAGACCCCGCCCACTTCCGGCGCCCGCTCCGGCCGCAATCTGTGCTCCAGCCCCGCCCCGGCGGTCAGAAAAGCAGCGTCCGCTTTTCCGCGCGTCTTTCTCCTCGCGTCCCGAGTGTGCTCCATTCCCTCCCCGGCACTAACTGGTCGTTCTCTAAAAGGTCCGGGCACTCCTGTGACAGGCCCGCTTCGCGCGCGCGGCATCTGGGCGCGGTGGAGACGCGCAGCCCGCCTCGCCCCCCAGCTCACTGAGGCCGCTGGACCCCTCCTCTCATTTCCCCTCCCCTCCCTCTTGGACCCCTGCCCGCCGCGCCATCCGCCCGGACCTCACGTCACTGAGGCCGCGGGACCCCTCCCCTCAGCTCCCCTCCTTTCCCGACCGGACCCCGCCCCGCGCCATCCCGCCCGGCCCTCTACGTCACTGAGGCCGCCGGACCCCTCTCCGCCGCTCCTCCCTTTTTCCCTCCCGCCCGCCCTGCCCCGTCCCGTCCGGCCCCCAGCGCCCCTCAGCCGCCGGACGCGCCATCCGGCCGGCTGCAGCCGCATCGCTGGCCCTCCGCCCGCCCAGACCCGCTCGTACCATGTCTTCCGAGGTGGCGCGGCACCTGGTGAGTCCCCCGCCCCCCCTCCCCGGGACCCCCGCCTTCCTGCCAGGGCCCCTCCCGGCGGCCGAGGCTTCGCGGGGCTTCCCGTCTTCCCTGAAGTTGAGTCTGAAGCGGGGGCGGTTTCTGTAACGGTCCCGAACGGGCGAGAGCGGGCCGGTGGCGGGCTGGCCCACTGACTCGGCCTCCCAGGCCTTCAGAAGCCCCCCATTTTACCCAGTATCGACCTCCTTGGGATTGGAGCCTTTTCCTCCCGCCTTGGCGCCCTTTTCTGTTAAAAGAACTGATGTGGCTGATTTGTTCGGTGTTTTCTACCTTTCAAGTCCCTTTTATGCACTGATCTCATTTCAGAGTAAGCCGTGGGATGGTCACAGTTGTGTCCTCGGCCATTCCAAGCTGTTCCTTGCCCTTTTCACTCTCATTCTCTTGTGAGTGCCGTGGAGTTTTCCAGACGCTATAAGTTGTGGAAGGACCACTTGCCTTTTGAAAATTTTGTTTTAATTTCTGATACTACAAATATCAGTGGTCGTAATCCTTGTAAACAAAAACTCTTCGGGGGCCTGAGACCAAAAAGTTTGAAAAGTGCTGGTCTAAGCAGTCTCCCAGATTAAAAGTTTAGGTTGTGGGGACCTGAGAGGTTGGGTGATGTTCCCAAGTCACACAGCCCGTTTGTTTGATAGAGCCTGGAGGAGGGTTTTTGTCCTGATTCAGCCCAGGTCTCTTTCCTCTGTGTCCTGTCGTTAGGGAGGTCTCAGCTTTCCTGTCTGGACTGCCTTGTTACCGTTGCGGTGTTTGTGTGCACGTGTGGGTGAGGAAAATGTGTTTTAAACTCTTTGGTTCAGAGTGAAGTTCAGTCTTCAGAATTAAACTTGGGCTGGAGAGAGTTTAATCATTTAATTGATGGTGGATTTCTTGTCAGTTGCTGTGCTTATTTTGCAATAAGTTTACCTTTAATTAAACTTTTTGAGATAATTGTAAATTCTTGTGCAACTGTGAGAAGTAACAGAATTCCCCAGCACCCTTTACCCAGTCTTCCTTAATAGTAACACGCTGCCAACCACAGTGAAGAGCACACCCAGGACACTGACTCTGCTGTGTGAGGACAGGGCTCTCCTTCGCCCCAGGGCCCGTCGCTGCCCTTTTGTAGCCACAGCCAATTCCTTTCCACTCCACCTCCTCCTTAGCCCCTAGCAACTACTGCAGTCTGTGATTTCTATGAGTTTGTCATTTCGAGAATGATATATAATGGGATCACCCAGTGTGTAACCTTTGGGGATTGGATATTTTTCACTCAGCAGCGTCCTCTGGAGGTTCATTCAGGTGTCGCAAGTATCATTAGTTTGTTCCTTTTAATTGCTGAGTAGCATTCCAGGGGGTGGATATACCACACTTTGAAGGACACCTGGGTTGTTTCCAGTGTTGGGCTGTTATGAATAAAGCTGCTTTAGTAATGTAGCATGAGGAAGGTGTAAGTCGTCAGTTCTCTGGGATTCACATGACAGTTGCATGTTTAGTTTCATAAGAAACTGCCGAACTCTTTCCCAGAGTTTCTGCACCGTTTTTCATTCCCGTCAGCAATGTATGCAAGACCAGTTTTTCCACATCCTCCCCAGCGCTTGGTGTTCCTGTTTTTTTATTTAGACCTTCCGATAGGTATGTAATGATATATTGGGGTTTTAACTTGCATTTTTCTAATGTGCTTGTTTGCCATCTGTATATTCTCTTCACTGAAATGTCTCTTCATTTCTTTTGCACATTGTCTAATTGGATTTTTTTTTTACTGCTGATTTTAGATGTTTTTAAAATATATATTCTAGACACCAGTCCTTGCTATGTGGTTTAAAATATATATTCTAGACACCAGTCCTTGCAAATGTTTTTTCTCATTCTTTGTAGGTTTTTTTCATCCTCTTAAAGAATCTTTTGCAGAGCAAACATTTTTAAAAGTTTTGATAACATCCATTTTATCAGTTTTTCGTCATACGGATTGTACCTTTGTGTCAAGTCTAAGAATCCATTGCCTAACTCAAAATACCAAAGGTTTTCTCTAATTTTTTTCCTAACAGTTTTATAGTTTGTTTTACATCTAAACCTATGACCCATTTTGAGTTAATTTTTGTATAAGATACAAGACTTAGGTCAAGGGTCATTTTTGGCTTATGGATGCTCCAGCATTTGTTGGGAAGGCTATCTGTCCTCTCTTGAATTGCTTTTGCACTTTCATCAAAAATCAGTTGAGCGTGTTTGTGTGGATCTCTTTCTGGGGTCTCTGTTAGCATGCAGTCTTGATTCCTGTAGCTACATAAATAAGTCTTGAAATAGAGTCGACTGATGCTTCTCACTTTATTCTTATATTTCAAAAAATTTTTTGGCTATTCTAGTTTCTTTGCCTTTCATTATAAATTTTAGAATAGTCTTGTCTACCTACAAAGAATTTTGCTGGGATTTTGATAGATACTACATTAAGTCTACATATTAGTTTACGGAGAGGGACTTTTAAACTTACAGATTTCAATTCCTTACTAGTTATCTGGCTATTCACGTTATTTCACATTGGGTGAGTTGTGATGGTGTGTGGTTTTGTGATCCATTCCTTCCAAGTGGTCAAATTTCTGTGTATGGAGTTGTTCATAATATTATCTTATTATCCTTTTGATTTCTTCAGTCTGTAGTGACAGTCCCTGTTTCATTCCTGATATTGGTAATTTGCATCTTCTGCCTTTGTCAGTCTTGCTAGAAGTTTGTCAGTTTCATTGATCTTTTCAAAGAACTATTTGTTTCATTGGTTTTTCTCTATTATTTTTGTATTTTCAATAAACTGATTACTGATCTTATCTTTATTTCCTTTGCTTGCTTTTGGTTTATTTTGCTCTTCTTTTTCTAAGTTCTTGAGGGGAGACCTTAGATCACTGATTTGAGACTTTTCCTCCTTTCTAATATAGGCACATGGTGTTAATGAATTTCCCTCTCAGCAGGGCTTTAGCTGTGTTCCACAGATTTTAGTATGTTGTATTTTCATTTTCATTCTACCTTTTGTTTTTAAAGAGCTCTGTGTTAAACCTCACTTGAAACTCTTCAGATTTTCAGACCTTTATTTTTCATAGAAGAGGACATTAAGACTCAAAGATATGTTGTACAACACAGGGAGTATAGCCAGTATTTTGTAATAACTGTAAATGGAAACTGACCTTCAAAGGTTGTATTAAAAAGACTCAGGGAGGTTTAGTGCATGCTCAAGGAATCACAGCTAGTGATGATGAGGTCTGCTTTGGGCCATATTGTGCCTGCCACTGTCTCCACATGTCCCCCATTAGTAATTGCATAAGTTTTATGATTCAAGAGATCTTGACTGTATAGTTATTTATTGCTGACTCTGATAGTGGATCTTGTAATGACATTGACTACCTTTTCCTGTCTCTTGAGAAACACACTCATAATTTTCTGCTTCTTCAGACTATCCTTACCAAAGCTTTTAAATGGTGTCCAGATCTTTTCAATTTCAAACTGCTTCTGTCATTTCCTGTTTCAGATGCTATACTTTTGAACTCTTATGTTTCTTTTTCAGTTATCATTCAGTGAGGATAATTTTTTTATCTTAGAAGCTTCCCTCATTTGTTTTACTTTCTACCTTGAAGTTGTGACTTTTAATTCTTCTCTTTTATGTCCTGGAGTTAATTACCGCCTCAGTGTTTCTGATCTGGAGAGACATCCCTTCCCACTGGTCCAGGTCCTGTAATCATCATAAGATAATGAAAGACCGAGTTCCTGGCCCATCTTCTCTGAAGCTTACCCAGAGCACTTTAACCTGTGGCAGTCTGTTGTACTGCTTGTTTGCCACTAGTCATGTGCTTCCTTGCAATACCTCCTAACTTATGTTTTGTATTGTTACTTAACTTTTCACATCAATTAAATTTTAGTGAACCTTGCATTTCCCCCCCCCACCCCCTAAATTAAATGATCTGTCTTCAGGAAAAGCAACCTGTAATATTCTTTGTATCCTCCGTAGCCATGATTGTACGTCTTTGAGGACCGGTGTTGAATATTTTTTATATGGGAAGTATGTTTACCTTGAATCATTTTATTCTTGTTGAATGTTACACACGTCAGTTATAAATTCTTACGGGTAGCTAGGAGCTGTTAGTCTGCATTTATGTTCTAACGAGGCTCCACCTTCCTCCAAGCTTTTGAGGTTTTTCCATGCTGATTTTGATCCTAACACAGTTCCAGACTGTAACTGTTTGTGTTGATTATTTATTTATTTATTTGGGTGTGTGGGAAAGGAGAAAGAGGGTGTTTTAAATTTTTGTAGTTTACTACAGAAGAGACTCTTCTCAAGAATATTTATTAGCCCTTTATTTTTTATCTATCTATCTATCTATCTATTTATTTTTGGCTGTGTTGGGTCTTTGTTGCTGCATGTGGGCTTTCTCTAGTTGCAGCGAGCAGGGGCTACTCTTTGTTGCAGTGCACGGGCTTCTCGTTGAGGTGACTTCTCTTGCGGAGCATGGGCTGTAGGTGCACGGGCTCAGTAGTTGTGGCTCACAGGCTCTAGAGCACAGGCTCAGTAGTTCTGGCTCACGGGCTTAGTTGCTCTGTGGCATGTGGGACCTTCCTGGACCAGGACTCAAACCCGTGTCCGCTGCATTGACAAGTGGATTCTTAACCACTGTGCCACCAGGGAAGTCCCTGGCCCTTTATTTTTAACCATACTAAATTAATTTTCTCTGCTTAAGATTTTAAGTATTCCTAGTACAAAATACCTGATTCTCAAGGCTTTTTCAATGAGAATAATTTTTACATTTCCTTTTGATCATATCTGGGAGGAAGTCTGATTTAGATGATGCTTTATTTTAAAATTTTATTTAACACCTTTTACAATTTGTGTCTACCACTGATTTGAAGATCACAGAAATAAGCAGCTCACAGTCTCAATAACAAAACCACAAGATTAAAACTACCATTTTAAATACCTTTAAAACCAATCATGATTTAGTATGCTTACAATT